CCTGTAACTACTTTTTTTTTTACTTCCTCTTCCATCTTGTAACCTCCTCCTGTTCATTCACTATCTTACTTAAAGATTCAATCTTGTTATTGTGTTCATTGGTTATCTGTCTCATAGCATCTGTTCCTCTTTTAACTTTTAATTAATATGATTCTGAATTCTTTATCCATGGAGCAGAGAAATTCTTCTATATCAGTATCATTGTGCTCTGGAAGCTGATTTTCTTTCTATGGTGTATTGTTTCTAGGGGGACTTGCTTGATTGCTATATTTTTCTTTCTCCCCATTGTTTCCTTTCATGTTTTTCTCGATGTAGGGCCATGTGATTTGTGTGCTTTTACCAGAGCATGAATGTCAGGTACCAGCCCCGATTTCAGTCTCTGCCTCTGTCACCCATGTTGATAGATCCTTTTTGTCTACTGATGAAAATGAAGTGTTCAGCTAGTAATCGGTTCATTTACAGAGGGAACTGCTTTACACATAATCATATATTCATGTTTCCATCAAAGGATGTGCATTCAGTGTCTGCCTATATCATTTCCTCTAAAATCTATGTGGATTTTTATTACTGTTAAGTTGAAAGCAATATACAATTTATTTTCTATTTCCTAGGCAGAATTAGTCATCCATTTTTTATTCTAATATTTTCCCAGTTTCCATTTTTTAATATAACCATGCAAATTCATAGTTTCAAAAATTATATTTTCAAAAAATTAGTTCTCTGCAGAGGAAAAACTACTTAATCTGGACATCTCAGAAATTATGAGGGGATAAAGAAGTAGTGAAATGATAACAAATTGATATATTTATTTCTGAAACCATTTATTTACAATAAATTTTTAACACAGAACAGAATTGAAAGATGATACAATAAACAATCATATACCCAGGAACTGGATCTAATATATTTGACAAAGTACCACATCAGAACTATCTTTTTCAATTTATGTGCACACTTGTATATATGTTCTCACTAAAATAGTAGTTACATGCATTTAACAATTCATTTTCCAAGAACTATTGAATAATTAAAAGAAGTTTCTCTCATTACCACAATAATAAAATTTCACAAAAAATTAATAATTTTATGTTTCAATATCTGCTATGTATACAAATTAACCCAATTACTTCCAAACTATCTCTTATAGTTGAACTTGTGATCAAAGTCTCACTAACAGTGATCAAACTCACATTGAAGTTGATTGTTATGTCCTTTTTGTCTCCTTTCATATATAACCGGCTATAATCATTTTCAAAAATAATTTCACAAGAATGTAGACCAATTGGTTTGTTGGATGCCCTGGGTTCCAATTTTTGTCTGATTATTTCATGTATGCTGAAAATTAGTTCTAAAATAACAAGAATCATCAATCTTTTCCTATAAAGCATGGTTGTAAATATTTTTCACTTTGTGGCCCCATAAACTCGGTCAGGACTTCTAACCCTGATATTGTAAAATGTAGGCACTCACAAACCATACATCAATGGAGATAGGTACTATGTTCCAGTAAGACTTTAAAATAAATGTAGATATTTGCCTGAATTTGGCCAGAATGTTCTAGTTTGTAAACTCTTAGTCTAAAAACAAGCTTAGATTGGTATTACGCCAATATATAAATAATTGTTTATCTGCCAAACATAATATATAGTAACTTCATGTTTTATCAGGAGATATATGTCCGGTTGCCAGCTATGGATGATACTAAATTTGATTAATAAGATCAGTTGGTGACTGCCAGACTGCCACATTGTAAATGTATGCATTGGCACTTGTAGCCAACAGTAATCTATAAGGTAATTTTTTGCATGTGGGACAAATCTGATCTCAAAAAATTCCTTTCCCAATGATTTCTGTGGTCACCCCATGAGTATTGGTAATTGATCAATTACCAATTCATTCATAACTTCATTTGTTGGCTGCTATTTTAGCTATCAGCTAGAACTTATACACATTTCTATTTAATATACTATAATAATTCAGACTCATTTTTATGTTAAAATTGAATTGGATATGATTAGCATCTTTAGGTATAATAGCTCTGGAGTTAGATCTTGCCTAGATCACATGCTGAGAATGAATTATTATATAAAAAATAAAACTTGCAACAGCTCAGTTTATAAAATGAAAGGATTAAAGACTCTATTACAGGGTTCTGATTTTATACTGAGGAAAACAATTTTATATGCAAGTTTTTTTAAATCAGGAATTGGATCTGTCTTGACTCCACTGCAAACAGTGAGTGATAAAATATATTCTGTAATTAGTAAATTGTTAAATCACTGGAAACAGAGGTGAAGAATTGGAGATGGGTAAGTAAGGAAACCAATTTCCCTGCTTTGCCTATGTCCAAGGTATGCCCTGGGATGCAGACTTTCAGTATAAAACCATGAAAGGATTGGCCAACTGACATTATTGTTAACCCTACAGGCAGGTATTTAACTGTACATTACTTTCCTCTTTTGTGCTATTTCTCCCACAGCTGACTTTCCTTCCTATACAATTTCAAACTGAGTAAGAATCATAGAAAAATAAGCATCTACTGGGAAATTAGGTTATAGCTCCTAGAATATGTTAGGAGTGAGATGATCACGGAATATGGACCAGAAAACCCAAATTCTCCAACAATCAAATATCAAGTATTAGCGACATACTTTATGCCAATGTTATTTTCATGAAGAATTATTTGTAACAAACTTAAAAAGCTTCTAATATTCTTTGCCCAAAGAATGACAATTCCGTGTTTTCCATCTTTTCTAGGAGACATCATCTGGTTTAACTATTCAGTATGGTTACCCTGAAAAGAGAGGTATAAAATGAGGACACTGTATTGTATTTTTCAAAAACTAGAAGACTTAAACAAGAGCACTACAACATATTCAAAAAGAAATCAAAGAAGACCTTGCATGCTCATTGATCAGATTTAACATAATTAAGTCTCCCAAAATTGATATAAATATTCAATACTGTCCTGATAAACAGGTTAGGTAAATTTTTTTTCAGAAATTGAAATGCATGCTTTAAAATTTATTAAGGAGTCCTGATAACAGGCACTTTAACCAAAATATATAGAGAATTCTTATCATTTGTCATTAAATACAATTGCAAAATTAAAACAGACAAAATATTTGAATAGCTATTTCCTCCAAAGAAGATAAACAAATGGATAATAAGTACATGAAAGATACTCAACATCAATACATATCAGTGAAAGGCAAAACAAAACCACAATGGATAGCATTCCACACCCACTAAAGTATCAAAAAAGATAAACAAAATCATCTTTTGATAAGTATGGGAGGGAAACTAGAGGCATCATTTCAATAATTTTAAAGAAAAGTCGTAAAAAATCTACTTTTCAAAAAAATAACTCTCCTATTATCTGAAAAAATCATTACGGGACAGAGAGGTGGAGTCCATCTAGGAGGATATCTCAATCAGCCCAGAGATGATGACAACTGGAATTTGGGAGACAGTGATGGAAACAGCATCAGGAAGACTAATTTGTGATCTACTAAAGAGAAAATGATAGTAAGATTTAGCAAAAAAATGACTTGGAATATAAAAAGATAATATTAATTTAATTAATATTATAATTAAGGATCTTCTAGGTCCAATGGTGCAGTTTTTCCCTCAGCTAAAGGATGGAAAAGCTTATCAAAGAACTGAGTGAGCTAAAGAGCATAAAGTTGGAAAATAAAAAGATGGTGAATTCTGTTATGGTCACGTAGAGCTGAGATACGTTATTAGAGATGTCAAGTCGGCAACTGGAAATAGTAGTCATGAACGCATATCGATTTCAAGACTGAGAAACATATTTGACCATCATTGCCTTCTGCGTGTCTCATTAAGTCACTATGGATGTAACTGTCTATGTGAGCATATAAAATGAGGATAGCAGTGTTTCAAGAATGAATCAATGTAGAATATGTGATAAATAAAAGTTCTGATAGAGGGATATGAAGAATTCCAGGAGTTTGAGATATGAATATCAGAGACAAAAGGAGAGGATTTCAAGATGGAGGCAATAACCATGGTATCCAGCACTGCTAGGAGGACCAAAAGGGTCTTCCCTGTTGGTGCAAGGTGCTAAATTTCAGCATTATGGAGCAATTGGCAGCCATTGGGGGGAGGGGGAGGAGGAGGAAGAAGGGAGGGGAGAGTGGAGAAGGAGGGGGAAGGATGCGGGGGAAGGGGGAAGGAGGAGGAGGGATGAGGAAGAAAAAGTTAGAAGGCTGGAAAATTTATAATGTGAAGATTTTTTGGAGTAGTTGCAGTTGGTTCAGGGAAATGCAGAAAGTTTGCCGCTAAGGTTGTGGAATCACTGAAGTTAGGAAAACAAGTTAGGACAGTTTAAAAACCTAGAAAAATTCATACGGACCTATGTCTCACGTTATTCACCTATCAAATGGGACCATAATACTACTCACCTCCAAATTCTGATTTGAAGAGTATTTGAATGAAAAATTTTTTTGAATAAAAATATTTTTAAAAAGGCTTTGTGAACAGGAAAATGCAGCTGCCCACTGATTCATACTGAAACCTTGCCTCTGACCTCTGTCAATATTTTTTCTGGTTTTAGCCTTTGTGTGTGCAAGAGACACTCATAATAGCTGCAGGCTTATCAGGAGAGTCTCAAATCCCAGTCAATACCTATTTGACTCTGCTGCCATAGCTATAAACACGTGCCTATTGCTCTGCATGTGGACGGGCAACAGGCAGTGACCACAGTGCATCACAGCCTGTGCATCACTGCCTCAGGTCATTAGTTTGTGCCTTCTGAGATTACTATATTATCTTTCCCACTCATAGTGTTAGTGTTTTATCTTCTTATCAGGAAATCTAAGAGCTCATTTACTTGGTCACATAATGTGGGTGTCCTATGAGTGTGGTAACTGAGAAGATAGTGGTACACAATAGTGAAGGGAGCTTGAAAGTTGAGCAACAGCACTCATGATGAGGACACACCTTCCAGTGGGTACAAGTAAACCAGGGAGCATCACCTGAGGGTATCGCCTTCTATATGCCCAGACTGTCCAGTGTAGCAGCTATATGCTGTTCAAGTGGTTCAATTAGTGAAGGGCTCTGGGCGCAACCTGTGACCTTACCATGCTTGGTTTGGAGGCATCAGAAATGACCCTGCTGGAGAGTGTGTAGCTCTCAGACTCAGCTCCCAACTTCCTGACCATTTTGCACCATCTTCCATATTGCTCCCGGACCTGCAGGGAAAAAGCACGCTCTGAGGCAGCTCACTGAGAGAGGCGAGGCTGGAAGAGTCCTCAGTGGGGGATGTCCAGTAGTACCTGCTGGCTGAGGAGGCAGTAGACCAGGAAAATGAAGACGCCCTGCAGGCTGTTGATGATGGTGAACAGGTAGGCCATGACCTGGGCACCCGGACCCACCTGCAGGATTCCCAGACACCATGTGCATCCCAAGATGACGACCTGAATAGTAGCTTTAAATGTCAGCATTCTGGGTGAGAGAAGTAAGGGGATACATGATTTACCAGGAACAGCACTTTCTAAGTCATTTTCTTCTCCACCCCATGGCCCTACCCCTCCATTGGCGAGGACTTCTCAGAATGAGTTGTGATCAGCTTTCATATTTCATGATCAGTTATTACCCTCAATGGCATTTTCATTCAGTTGAGTGACATTTTATAAAGTAGTGTCAAATTTTTTATGATGATCCTTGGATAATCATAATTTCATTTCACCAGCTAACTGAGGAAGTACTATCAAGCTTTGTGCTGGCACTTGTGTCAATCCACATCTGAGTATCTACCCCCACCACAAAATGCAAAAACAGGAGTTAGAAGGGATTATGCTTAGTGACATTAGTCAGGAGGAAAAAGGAAAATACTGGATATCTTCACTTACAGTTGGAATGTAGGGGAACCAAATAAGGGATCATGGGAATAAGTAATTTAGTAAATTAAAAAACAAAATTAACTGGTGACTACATATCAGAAACATTCTGTATGGGATGAGGAGTGTGAAGCATCAAAGCATAAAGGGAAGACCACAAGCGACTGTGGTGATGGTAAGTGGGTGCTCTCGTGGTGGGAATTCTATAGAAGGTCACCTGAGAGAGAAGGCATACATTGCACAAAAAGGAAGAATAAGGTAAAAAAAAAAAACTATAAAATGCATTTGTTTTAAAATTTGATGTTGAGACAAGAAAAATGCAAAAACAGTACTGCAAGGGTTATAGAGTTTCTGTCTTCATTGAAGCATTATTTGCAATAGCCAGATTTTGGAAACAACCTAAGTGTCCAATGGCAGGCAAGTGGACTAAGCTGTGTATACAAAAACAACAGAATACTATTCAGTTATTTAAAAAGAAAAAGAAACTCTTGCCATTTTCAACATGAATGAACTGGAGATTATGATAAATGAAATAAGCCAATGGAGAAAAGCAAACATTGGGTCATTCCAAACTCATGCATGGAATATAGAGGAGTAGAAGGACCACAAACATATACTATATATGACTGTAGCACTGAGGCTACCATGTGGGCAAGGTGGGGAGGGACCCAACGGGCTGTGGGGGAGGATTATGAGTGTTCTGGTAGTTGGTTCCATGTGGCAACAAGTATCTGGGGTGCTGTGAACTGCTACTTCTAAATCATAGAGTGGCCCAAAACATGCTACCTAACAAAAAAATACCTAGGAAAAATCATTTAAATTACAAGGCAAGTTTTCTATTTCCTAAGCCTCATAGTCTTCCAAATGACCAATGTAAATGAATAAGGGCATGCAAATTTTTAAAAGCTAATGATAAGAAAATATACTAAAAAGCATTACATTTACTCAGTGCTTCCTAGAGCAAAGGCTACTCAAGCCTTCTAGATGTGATGCTGCCTCAGATTTTTCCTGGGACAAGGTCTGTAGTCAAAAGACTAATCTAAGGGTGGGGCAAGAAAGTGCAGACAGGATTGTGGGACACTCACAGATTTTTCTAATACTACATGGGAACATAAGTATTCTTGGCCCTCTTGCTGAGGACAGCTGACAAAAGTCCAAATCATGTTTATCAGTCAATGTCAATTCCTTCTGTCGCAGGCAGATGCACAAGATGGGCTTGGAGAGGAAATGTCTGGCTGGGGTGCCAGCAGCACATGCCAAAAAACACACCAGTCTGCCACGAACAAGTTACATCTGAGTTCCCTCAGAACCACCTTGAAAAGGGACATCAGGAATATTGATGCTCATGCTTTGTGCTCCTGGGCCCTCACATGTCTACATGGTTGTCACCCCTTTCTAGCTTACCTTGTGTTCTGGATGGTGGACACGTCACTGTTGAGGGAAGAGAGTTTGTTTTTCAAAATCCAGAGTGCCATCAGAAAGAAAACTATATTGACCTTCAGAAAACAACACAAATTTTATTCAATAAAATTCCAACCTATTATCTCTATCCCAGCTAGTTCAATATCAACTTCACACATCCATAGTGTTCATGTTTAGTAACAGTTTTGATGTTTATAGTTTTGGGAGTAGCCTCATAAAACCAAACCCATAACAACCCGGGGACACATCTTGATACTATCACCCTCCCCTTTGCAATTCTGCTCTTCCAGTGACCCCAGTTGAGCATTAAGGATGCTCTAACATCATCACTCACAGAGAAGATGGCACAGACTGGTCCAAGGAAGCCCCATATAAATCCCTTCTCTGTGTGAAGCCAGCAACTGGACAAGAGAGAGCAAAAACCTGTATTGGTATGGAGGTTAACAGAAGGGGAAGAGAGTAGTGGGTATAAAAAAGGGCTAGTTGGGCCAATATGTCCTTGAGTGCTTTGGTAACTGATACATCTCCATGAAAGGAAGAGGAGCATTGAATGGGGTCATTCTCCCTGACAGGAAGTTGCTTTGTGTTACAAGTCCAATTTGGTTGAACGTATCGGGGAACAGTAAGTAATACACAGAGGACCTAGAAGTCAGACTTTACTAACAAACAGTGACAGCTTTCCTGCTTGTTGCAACATCAGAGTAGAATTCATGGTAAAGCAGGAAGCAGGATATTTGAGAAAAATGAAGAGTACACCGAGAAGAATGGAAACAAGGAAGAAATGGTATGTCCAAAATGACACTTTAAAGAACAAAGCTGGTGTGTGTGAATGCTGTGGCTGAGTGCAGAATCTGGGAGAGTAATTTCCTCAGTGGAGGCATGAGTACTTCAGTGAAGTAGCTATCATCCAAAAGCAAAAACATGTTTATAGAAAACAACTAAAACCAACAATTTTAAAACTCAAATTCTCCAAAGCCACAAAACAAACTGAAAATAGCCTATCCAAAAACAAACTTCCAAACTCTGATAAGACTGAGTGCTAGAGGGAAAACATACCCTGAACAAACTCCACACAGGTTTTGCAGACTCCACCCCATTCCAGACCAAAGTCATCAAGAGTCCAGGAACTACAAATCCCATCATCACCTCATTTTGGAACCTATACATTAATGAACTTTAAGACATTTATATAAATATTTGTGCCTTTGTGTGTTCATCTATAAAACAGAGTAAACAGTAGTATCTGCTTCATATTGGGATGTGAGATTTAAATCAACAACTAAAAAATGGTTAAAAAATGACTGACACTCTTTTGCAGCAACTTGGATGGAGCTGGAAAAGATCATGCTTAGTGAGATAAGCCAGAAAGAGAAAGAAAAATACCGGATGGTCTCACTCATAGCAGGAGTATAATGGACCAGGCGAGAAAATAACAAAAATAATGAACAACCATAGACCAGAGACATTCTGTGGGGGTGGAGTGGGGAATGGGATCAAAAACGGGGGGAGGGGGGGAGAAGGGAGGGAAATGCACGGGACTATGGTGGTGGCACAGGGGTGATTTGGTGATGGGAAACCCGTGGGGATTACAATTGAGATGAAAAAAAAATGTGCAAAATGATGTAAAAATAAACTTTTTAATAAAAAAAAATTCACACAAAAAAAATGACTCACACTAATTAACTAATTAGGCACCTTGTAAATCTAAACTATAAATAAACTATTGTTTTGATTACCTAAATGGGTTCTACTTTTCCAAATGAAAAGCTAGAATATCCTATAAAATAATGATTAAGTATAGGTTAGACATTTTTTCATGAAGTCCTAAACACTCCTTTCAATTTCCTCTTTGTTATTTCAAGGGCAGAAATAAATTCTCCTTAATAACTATAATACTGAAAGATAATGATGCCCTAAGGATTATTACCTGGTGTTGCTCTCCATAGTGTTAATTACTGAATTAATCAAAATTCGACCTTGGTTCCAAGATGGCCATGGTCATGGAACAAAGGAATGCCAGTGGGATTTTGCACTCACCGGGCAGCTGTTCCATAAAGCTCAGGCCTGAATGCTGCAGAAATGGCCACAATCACAGCTGGGACTCCATAGCCCACCGGAAACATAAACTTCTTCATGAACATGTTCACACTGGCATAGTTGACCACCATCAGGTTGCGCGCAGTGAGGAAGAGGTGCAGGCCCTCCAGCAGCATCCAGGTGAAGGAGGCCAGGTACAGGTAGTGTAGGGTCCCTGCGATGGCGGCGCACAGGACCTGGGGAGGGAGGGCATCCTTAGGAAGGGTCGTGCAGTAGAATTCTGCCCCAGGACCTCTCTGCACCCTGCCACTGGAGACAGCGCTGAGGTATAGGAAGGAGCTGTCAAGAGAAGGACTGTCTTCCACTTGCACCTGTCAGTGTGAAATTGACCCTTCACTCCCACAAACTTCCCCAGGGTCCAGGGCTATTTCATTTAAATGTACATTATAGCAAGGCTCCAAGTCCAGTGCTCCCAGAGGGAGGGGTGCAATTCCCCTGGGGGCACTGTCACTACCTTGATTTCAGTTCTGTCAATGGCCGTGAGGAAGAGCAGATGGGCAAGGAAGAGACAGAGTGAGAGCTGCAGGTGGAGGGAGGTACTGATGTTCTGGATGGTTTTGCACAGCCGGAAAGTGATGGCGGCCAGGAAGAGGCAGAGCAGAGAGAGGCTCAGTCCCACGTAGGTGATCACAGCCAGCACAGGATCCTCCCCCTGGGACGTAGCAGAGATGACAGTCACCTACTGCTCTGTGGCAATGCCACTAACCATTTATACTTTCATTTTCAAGTACAAGACAACAAAATCCAAGTTTCCCTGCCTCTTACTTTAGGTAATCCTCTTTTAATTATTTTTATTTTTCCTTGCTAGTGTATTGACAGTACAGGATTTCCCTCCTTGGGTCGTCGCTGTAGCCTCCCACCATGGAAGCACCCACAGTCCTCCACAGAGTGCACTGTGCTCTGTCCCTCCATACCACACCTCTCTTGTCATAGATAATCTTGAAGCCATGAGAAGAATTTTTAAAATAGCAATTCCAGGCCCTCCCTGCTGGTGCCACAGGTTAAAGATTTTTACATGCACACTACGAAAGCTATTAATAACCACTGCAGCACATGTTCCATCCCATACCTGGGAGGTGACCCACATGGCACAGCAGACCTCTCCTGCTCCCAATGCTACTTGCCTCAGCAATGTATTTCAGAGGATCTACCTGCTCTGCTCTTCATTCTGTCTCTGGTGAATCCTCTCTCTCTCACACACACACATACCCCACACCTCTGACCTATACCCCAGTCCATGTATACATAAATAAATCTTAAAAGTAAATGAATGAGGGCCCTCCCTGGTGGCACAGTGGATTAAAGCACAGCACTAAAAAGCTAAAGCCACTTCAGCATGAGTTTGACCCCCACCCCAGAGGAGATCCACATGGCATGATCCCCTCAGCAGTATGCTTCAACAGTTGGCTGTTGTGCTCCCCACTCTGTCTCTGGTGAATCCTCTCACTGCCCCTGCACCTCTGGCCTGTACCCAAGTTCTGTATGCATAAATAAATGAACTTTTTAAAAAATGAATGAATGAAAAATAGCAATTCTGGACCTACCTGGTGGCCCAGCATGATCAGTGGTTAAGTCTCAACACTATCAAACTATTGCCAGCCACTGCAACATCAATGACTCACATGGCATGGCACAACTCTGTGGTCTTGCTCTCGCTCCCCTAACCAGTGTACCTCTGTCAATCTGCTTGCTCTGCTGCCCACTCTGTCTCTGGTGAATCCTTTCAACCCCCCACTTCTGCCCTAAACCCCAGTTCTTATATGCATAAATAAAGAAAATAAATTTTTAAAGAAATTAAATTTAAAAAAATAGCAATTCCATTTCAAAGGAAAAAGTTGAGAGGGAGGAAGGGAAGTAGAAAGAGGTGGTGTAAATATAAGGGAACTGGATATAAAATAGTTAAACTGGTGTATCTGGATAAATGGAACTTGGGCATTATTTCCACTGTTTTAAATATGTAGTATTTCTGTCATTTGAAATTTTTCCTAATAAAATGTTTAAAATAATTAATAAGCCCTTCATGTATTCTTCATGCACACTAAATTTGGAGAATTTTTGCCATCATCATCACACACACACACACACACACACACACACAAAAACTGATTTCCCTAATATAACAAGAATTCCCATAAATCCAGAAGAAATACATATCAATTAAAATGGCTGAGATGAAGAAAGCCATTTAAGGAATTAATCTAGCTTTGTATTATAAGTGGGCAATTTACTGGAGCAAAGATATGGTTCCAGAAACAATTCAAAGTCCACCCATCTGAAGTCTCTTATAAAAACTGAGAAAGAAAACTGGTCTTAGGAAGCAAAAGTCTATTTCTGTGATGTAAATTTCCTGCCTCAAAATTTTTTTTTTTAAACCCATGAGCCATTCTTTTTAAAAAGCTAACTTCAGGAGCAGTTTCTTACCTGAATGAGTAAGTGAAGAGAAAATATATTCAAATGTTAAATCAATAAGAATTTTTGGTGTCTACCAGATACTTGTAAAGTAATTACTATTTCTTAAAACCAGTAGAGATGGCTGAATTTTTCTTTTAAAGATTCATTTATTTATGCAGACACCAACTGGGGTATAGGTCAGGGGCAGAGTGTGAGAGAATTCATCTGAGACAGAGTGGGGAGCAGCACAGGCAGACGGACTGAAATACACTGCTGAGGGGAATAGCGAGGGAGAGAAGAGAAGTCTACCGCGCTGTGCGGTTTAGCTCCCTGGCCAGGGACCGAGCTCCTGCTGCAGTGCTGCAGATAGCTTCATAGTGCTGCACTTTAACCATTTATTCCACCAGAGAGGGCCCAGTGGGTGAATTTTTAAATGAAAATCAAAAAATCTCTGTCTCCGCATATTTGGTCTCCCCCTTTGCGCTTTAGTTTACTTTCATATGGTCATAGCAGAATTAGTTCACATGTTACTGGTTTACAAATATTCTTCTATAAATTCTGAATGCATGAATACAATAGAAACTAATTAAAATGTTTTTTCAGAAATTGTGATTTAGGATAATTTCTGTCAGTAAGAAATAGTATAAATAATCAAGGTTTAATAAAACAAGCATATCTTTGAGTGTTAAAATTGGGTGTAATACTTTACTTATACTTGTGTTTATTGATCAGAATCAGCTCATGGTATCAAACAAGGAAAAGTAACTGACTCTAACATGTAAAGAAACAGGCCCAAAATGGACTTGGTTGTGTTAAACACAAGTCATGTTTTCTGGTCAGATACACTTGAATTTCAGGTAAAGTTTGAAACAAAGAGAAAGGAAAATCTAACAATAATTGGGCTCTCTGACTTAAAACCTTAGAGAAACTAGATAAAATTAAAAATGGAAAAAAAGAAAGGAAAGATTATTTCACAAGAAATTATCTTGCCAGTTTAATTCCAGAGAGGTTGGATTAGGGATCCCACCTCTCAGATAAACTGAAACTGATCAGAAAATTGAATATGGGGAACTTCCTTTTATATCCATTGCGTTCACACTGCCTGAGTAGCTTCCCAACATTTCTTTTAGGAAATTGCATTTCTGTTATGTTTATAATGAAATGTATTGAATATATGGCTCATTCTAACTGAAACAGCTGCACTTTCAGATTTTCTTCTTGTAGGTGTATCATTTCATAGAGTTAAAACTTACTTTACACTTTGCTCAACTGAATTATGCTGTAAAGAAAAGGAAACTGTGGAGTTGCCATGGAAACTTAGCCAGGGGTCCATGTGACAATTAGTGCAAATTCCCAGTCATATAGTAACAGGGTAAACAGAACCAGGCAGGATACCTCCAGTGGGGAAGGCCCCCCAAATCTATTGTCCCAGCAGGCCAAAGACCAACTCCCTCACTCATGAAAACAAATTAATTTTACACAAGTATGTGGTAGAACCAGAATTTAGGTGGAAAGAAATGTTTCATACACATATCTTGGTCTTTTCTAAGGTTTTTACATTTTATTTAACCTATAAACTGAACTGACCCTGTAAGAGAACCATGACTCACTGCAGGCTCCCTGATCTTGTGAGATGCACTGAGGAGCAGAGCAGATTTTAAAAAACAGCAGAATCAAGAAGATGAGGTATATACGCAAGATGGAATATTATTCCGCTATCAAAAATGATAAACTCCTGCTATTCACAGCAACATAGATAGAACTGGAAGGGATTATTGCTCAGAGGAATAAGCGAGAAATTAAAACAAAAATATCGGATGATTTCACTTATAGGTGGAATGTAGAGGATCCAAGTAAGGGATCGGGAAAACTATAATCAAATAAAACTCAAAATCAACAGGCTACCATATATCAGAGGCATTCTATAGGGAAGGAGGAGGGAGAAGGACCAGTACAGGAGTAGGAAGAGCACAAGGGACGATGATGATGGTGCACAGCTGAATTGGTGGTGGGAATTTCATGGGGAAATCATACACTGTATAAAAATGAAGGAGAGAGAGAGAGAGAGAGAGAGAAGATAGAAAGATAGATAGATAGATAGATAGATAGATAAATAGATAGATAGATAGATAGATAGAAGATAGATAGATAGAACATACATAGATAGAAGATACATAGATAGATAGAACATACATAGATAGAAGATAGATAGAT